GGATGTGGGACCACCCCGGGGACATGACCATGGGCTGTAGGACCTCTCCCACCATCTCCTGTGGGTGCCCAAGGGATGTGGGACCACCCTGGGGACATGGCCATGGGCTGTAGGACCTCTCCCAGCATCTCCCGTGGGTGGCCGAGGGACGCAGGACCACCCTGGGACATCTCCCGTGGGTGCCCAAGGGATGTGGGACCCCCCCATGGACACGGCCACAGGCTGTAGGACCTCTCCCAGCATCTCCCGTGGGTGGCCAAGGGACGCAGGACCACCCTGGGACATCTCCTGTGGGTGCCCAAGGGATGTGGGACCACCCCGGGGACATGGCCACGGGCTGTAGGACCTCTCCCACCATCTCCCGTGGGTGCCCCAGGGATGTGGGACCACCCTGGGGACACGGCTGTGGGTGTGGGACCTCTCCCACCATCTCCCGTGGGTGCCCAAGGAATGTGGGACCACCCCGGGGACATGACCATGGGCTGTAGGACCTCTCCCAGCATCTCCCGTGGGTGGCCGAGGGACGCAGGACCACCCTGGGACATCTCCCGTGGGTGCCCAAGGGATGTGGGACCACCCCGGGGACATGACCATGGGCTGTAGGACCTCTCCCACCATCTCCCATGGGTGCCCAAGGGATGTGGGACCACCCCGGGGACATGACCATGGGCTGTAGGACCTCTCCCAGCATCTCCCGTGGGTGCCCAAGGGACGTGGGACCTCTCCCGCCATCTCCCGTGGGGCGTGGGACCATCTCGGGGCCGCAGCCGTGGGGCGCGGGCCCTCTGCTAACAACCCCCCCAGGGGCGCCCGGGTGCGACGGACCCCGCGTCCACGCACCGACGAAGAGGAGGGTGAAGATGATGACGAGCTGGTAGGCGGCGTGGCCCAAGATGTTCTTCAGCATGGTGCGGGAGATGAGGGGCTTGTTGCGGCCGTAGGGCTTGCGCAGCAGCAGGGCCTCCGTGGGCGGCTCGGTGGCCAGCGCCAACGAGGCGAAGGTGTCCATGATGAGGTTGACCCACAGCATCTGCACGGCCTTCAGCGGGGAGTCCTGCGGGACGCACGGATAACGTCCGTCTCCCCCTCCGCGTCCCCCCCGCCGCCCCCCC